CTTAAGTAGTAATAAAGGGGATACCTAATTCTATATATAATTAATATTTATTAATTAAAGGAATTAATATTATACCTTTAAATTATTAATTATTAATTTACATAAAGGGTAATAATTAAATTAAATATTTTAATTATCTTTATAATAAATATTTATAAATAGTTAAATCTTTATAAAAAGCATATATATCCTAAACTATATATTTATTTCGATATAATTCTTAACCCTTTTAAAGGCTAGTTTCGATAAATAACTTTAATAGGTAGGGAGGGGATTATAATTTTAAGAAATTTCTTTAGATTTAAATGCGTAAAGGTATAGTAAAGGATAAAGATAAGAGGGAAAATTAAGTAGAAAAAAGATATAACAAAACGTAAAGCTGGTTTTATAGGGATAGGGCTAACAATATAGTTAATAATATACGACGTAAAATACGCGTACGAGGTATAACGTGAGAGAAAGGAGGGAGGATAAGTAATAATGCGAAGCTACTATTTACCCCGAGTTTAAGTAAGAGGGAGGTATATACTTAGATAGGTAGTATAAAGAAGTTGGAATTTTAGTAAGTAACGTATATAATAAATAAGCCGAATAAATAAGCGAGCCGAATAAGTTTTAACGTAGCGTAATCCTCCGACTTCTTTTACTAACTTTACTACTAATTCGCTATAAATTTACTTCTAACCGAATCTCGACTTATTTTAGCCCTCGAAGTTATTAAAAACGACCTAAATCCTAATCTTCGACGCGTAGCTAAACTTTATAATATACTAATTATAACTCTCTATAACCGACGCGCTAGCCGGCTTACACGACGCAATATACTAACCAATTTACGTAAACTTACCGATTTAAAAAAGAAAACAATTATTTAATATATTATTAAACTATATACACGCGCATTCCATCCTCGGCTTTCATATATAAAAAATAAAGTTAATCGATTACTACGCAAACGCGAGGCTGTTACAACCTTAACATCGGGAACGGTAGAGCAGTGCAAGGTCACCAGCTAATTAGAACAAAGTCGGGGCGGTCTGGGCGATCATGGGCAATAAGATTGGGAAGTGCAGTGATTACGGAAGTATAACCAATAAGGAACCAGAGAAGGATTATAGCGATCATTATAATTATTAGGGAAGAGCGGAATAATTACTATAATCGGGGAGAATTAAAGTCTATATATACGGAGGAACTGGCTAGTGTAGCTAGACAGTTCCGCAGTATGCAATTCACAGTTGTATTTACGGTATCTTGTGTTTATATCGAGATATTTTGTTATGCACTGTTTAGCTGCACCGAACCAATTATTAGAAGTTACCTTTAACCCGTATCCCTTTCAGAGGTTCTGTATAGGGGTTCGTCACAGAGGCGCCTCCTATTAGCGTATGATGGGCTCATAACTTCGTTAAACGCTAGCCAAAACTTTAGACGCGTTTTACGGGTAAATATAATTACTAGAGGGCTAAATGCGAGGATCTAAAGGTTATTAGCGAGTAATTTACCCTCGCACGGAATACTAAAGCTAAATACAATATTATAGATAACAATATTTATAATTTCGATAAGACTAGGTTTATAATAAATATTATCTTCGCGGATATAATAATTATAACTTTTAATAGCCGTAATAAGGTGAAACTAACCTAGCTTAGTAACCGCGAATGGGTAATAGTAATCTAGGGAGTTAATACTCTCGGTTAGACTATCCCTCTTTTTATTATTTTAGCTGCGTAATACTACCTTATTAATTAATATAACGTATATTATAAGCGAGTGACTAATATAAGCGAGCGACCACTTTTTTACAACCTTTATATTATTATCCTTAATTACTATACAACCATACTAAGAAGCAACTATAATTATATCCGAAATAGCTAAATCAGACAATTCTATAGCCTCCTGGTAAGTACGCGCATTATAGCTAGGCTTGCCGCACATACCACAGCACTAAACCTTCGTACGAGCTCCCCCTGCACTACCGCTATCCGGCTATATTTCTTCCACTACCTCCCTACCCACAGCCTTCTGGTCCAGTAAATCCTATATATCTTACACAGTAAGTGATCCTCCGAGCCGTATATATATTTTTTTAACTCTCCGGCGTTTACTTAATACTTTATTAGCTTTACGGAGCGAAAAGACCTCTATTTGTAAGAGGGCCATTTAGTATATTATAGCTATCGTACCTTTAATAAATTGATTTATAGTATTTAATATTAAAGTTAGGGAGCTATTTTAATAGTTAATAATACGAATTTTAATAAACGTAAAGTATAAATTAGTTTTTTAGGGGTTTTATAGTATTTTAAATACTTAAAAAAAGTACTGTGCGCGGCCTTAAGGATAAAGGTATTAACGTACGAAACTTTATATTTAATTTAGAAAGTATTTTCTTTAAATTATATAGTATAAAGCTAATATTTATAAAAATTACTTTATATATTTTTCTCCGTTATAAAAGCGAAAAAGGCTTTACGGAAAGTATAAAGAAACTCGAACTTATTTATATAATTAATATATATATATATTAAACCCTCGATTTAGCGGCCGTACGTTTATTTTAGTAGCCTAAAATAATGAATATCGAGTAACTGGAGGAGGTAGGAGGAGTGTAGAGGTATATAGAGCGTAATAATATTATTTTACTGGTAGTAACGTTCGAATTTAGTTGAGTAATAGCTTTTGTAATTATCGAAGATTAAGAATCGGTAATTATTTTTCGTACGGGATACTATATAATAATCGAAATATTTAATTTAATTTAAACTTATTAAATTAATAATTTAATTATTATTAGTAATTATAATACGTTAAATAAATAGTAAATTATATTCGGTATATAAATTAGTAAGGTAGTATTATATAATTAAAATAATAAAAAGCGGAATAGCCTAACCGAGGGTATTAACTCCCTAGATTATCGTTACTTATTTGCGGTTACTAAGCTAGACTAGTTTTACCTTACTAAAGCCGTCCGAAGTTATAATTACTATATTTATAAAAATAATATTTATTATAAACCAAATTTCGTTAAAGTTATAAATATTATTATTTATAATACTATATTTAACTTTAATATTCTATATAAGCGTAAACTACTCGGTAATAACTTTTAGATCTTCGTACTTAGCCCTTTAATAATTATATTTACGCGTAAAATACGTACGGAGCTATAGTTAGCGTTTAACGAAATTATATACCCAAAGTTTGCTAATAGGGGGCGCGTCGCGTACGCGCAGCAGTTAGTTAGCTATATCTTTTACACTATATAACCTTGGTAGAAAAGCTCGCGTAGATAGCTCAATAATATAATAAACAATAGCCTCCTCTTCGGATTAAGTAAGCTTCTTCGATCTGGGCGTAGTATCGCGTCGTATAGGCCGGCCGGCGCGTCGGTATCTAACTATATTGCGATCGACGTTATATATTTTAGCTGCAGCTAATATACTTAGATTTTTATTATTTCGAAGAGCCTTAAGGGCTAAGATTATATGGGCTTCCTTTGCAGTAGATGGTATTTTGGAATATTAAAAAAATAAGGTGTTGAGGTTAAGGTTACGCGTCGCGTAAAAAAGGTGGTCGCTCGCTTATATTAGTCGCTCGCTTATAATATACGTTACTAAATATAACTTACTATTTACCTAGCGTATTATAATTATTAATAATAACTAAACTATTAATATAATAAGCCTAAATTAAATTAAGTACTTCGATTATTATATAGCGTCCCGTATAAAGGGTATATGCCGGTTATTAATACTCAATAACTACGAAAGCTACTACTTAATTAAATTTAAGCGTTACTATTAATAAAATAATATTATTATATTCTATATACCTCTACACTCCTCTTACCTCCTCCAACCACTTAATATTAATTACTTTAGGCCGCTAAAATAGGTGTACGGTCGCTAAATCGAGGACTTAATATATATATATATTAACTATATAAGTAAGCTTAAGTTTCTTTATACTTTCCGCGAAGCCTTTTTCGCCTTTATAATAAAGAAAAATATATAGGGTAGCTTTACGGGTATTAGCTTTATACCGTACGATCTAGAGAGGATGCTTTTTAAACTAAATATAAAGCTTTATACGCTACTACCTCTAAACTACGGCCCGGCACTATATAACTTTAAGTCTCCTAAATACTATATAGCCTTCGAGAAGCCAACTCACAATTAAGGCTTATTAAGATTCGTATTACTAACCATCAAAATAACTCCCCGACTTCAATATTAACTACTATAGACTAACTTACTAAAAATATAATAACTATAATACACTAGGTAGCTCTCCTTCGTACAGAAAACACTGCACTCCGTAAGGCTAACGAGGCACTAATTAAGCGCCGGAGAGCCAAAAAAACACGTATGCGGCTTAGAGGGTCACTTACTGTATAAGAGGCACAGGATTTACTAGATTAGAAGGCCGCGGGCGAGCAGGTAATCCAGGAAAATCGATAAAGTGGTGGTGGTACAGGGGGGTCTCGTACGAAGACTTAGTGCTGTGGTGTATGCGGCAAGCCTGGCCATAATGCGCGCACTTGCTAGGAGGCTGCAGATGCCTCAGACTCAGCTGTTTCTGATGTTATTATAGTTGGTTGATAGTTTGGTTGTATTATAATGGAGGATGGTATTTGAAGGGTGGTCAAAAGTGACCGGCCTACTTATATGACCGACTCGCTTATAAAATACGTTATCTTCAAAATTGACGTTACCTTGATGTGGCCCATGCCACAGTTGGCCTTGGGAATGATACACAAACTTGTGTGGTCGGCCTGAGAGGACCCTAACCCGGACCGTCAAATCCGCATATGGCCCCCATCCCCAGGCGGCAGTTCAGTTGCCCCTTTTAATGAAGCCCTGACCCTTGTGAGGTGAGTTACCCCTTTATCATTAATCAGGAAGTGAAATTCACTTCATCCCGTTCTCTTGCCTTCGTTTGCATCAGCTGACGGTTTTTTTTTGTGTTTCTCTTTGCCGTTTAGCACCATGATTCGCACTCGTTTAGCATCATTTTCTGGATTTATCTTGATAGCCATACCAACGGCGGTCAGAGGGGTACGACTTGATGTGCCCAGAGTCGAAGATTTCATCAGGAGATGGAACGTTGCCGCCACAGTGATTGGTGATTACGTCTACATTGACGGTGGTGAAATAACTTAGTTTGAGAACGGGACCATTGATGGATTTTACCCTTGTTACCAAGGTGCGAGCTCAATGTCTTCCAAACGGTTCATAGAGTACCCACAACCAAGCAGGCGATTTATCTAACGTGCACCACCAGTAAACTCAACTCTCTCCATTAATACCTCCACCTCTTGGACAACAAGCAATGTTTCTATTCAGACGATCGAGAAGCCTAACCGTCCTACAAACTCACCTGTGCTATGGAGTGACAAGGAGGGAAATGGCGGGTTCTACTCTTGGGGTGGTGTTTTCTCATTGAGCAGGTTCGTGACCAGGTCCGAGATGTGGAGGTTCAGCGCCGATGGCCGAGGCGGTGGGAGCTGGTCACTTGTCCAAGACTTTCCCAATTCGGAGGCGTTCAAAAGTTTGCTGTCGGCAGAGTCAGCGGCTTATGCTAATACTGACGACAAAGGGTTCTCAATTGGTGGCTGGGTTAGCCCAGGCTCACAACAGGGGATTGAACAGGTTCAGATTGTCCCGGGCATGGTCTCATTTGATATGCGGACGAAGGAAATCAGCAACGGAACAACTAACGATGCGGGCCCTACGAAAAGTCCAATTGAGACATTGATTGGAGGGCAAGCCCACTTTCTTCCTTCTGATACCGGCACCAGAAGCGAGACAGGGTTGATATTATTGTTGGGTGGCCACAAGTCGTTTGTAGACCGACAGATTGCTCAGGAAGACTCTCCTGGCTTTGACCTAAGCAACCTAACATTTTTCGACCCGGATTCAAGGGAAAGATATTGGCAAATCGCCACACGAGACATACCACCTTATCCACGGGTCGACTTTTGCGTCACTGGCTTTGCTGCACAAGGGGGTGGCTATGATATGTCAGTTCCAACTATGCACCAGGAGCTCATTACTCAGTCGTTGACTTTCCTGCAGATTTATATTTGGAGGACGGAACGAGGGGCGTGGTTACTACGACGACGCTTACATTCTCAGCCTTCCAGGCTTCGAGTGGATTCGAGTTCCGACCCCTCCAGGAGGGACACGGGCCCACCAGTAAGCTTCTTCAATAATCTTTATTCTAACGGAATATCCCTAATAATCGTACCATTGTAGTCCATGTGTCTCGCTGGGCAGTCAGGTGCTCAGTATCGGCGGCATAGCAGCCAGTCATCGCTCCGTGGACTCAGCACCACAGGGATTACTAATCTTCGACATGACTGCACAAGTCTGAAAGGACAACTATGATGCCAAAGCCAAAGAGTATGTGCGAGCTAAAAGGCTGGAGGACTGGTACCAAAGGGGGTCAGTGTCACGCTATTATCTCTCAATGTTGTTTCAAAAGAAGAGGCTAACATTGTCTTACATTTAGGGGTATGGACAAGGTGGACTGGTCTTCAGAGCGGGTGAAAGCCCTCTTCGTCACAGATACGGGCGCTGCACCTCCAGGGAGCCCGCCTGGCAAACAACCAGAGACCACGGGAGAACCAAAGCAACCGGGCTCAGAGGAAAACCTCTCAACAACACAGATCCCTGTGGTGGCTATAGCAGGGGCCGGGGCTGGTGGGATGCTCGTCTTGGCTATTCTAGTCACTCTGGTCATTTGGATGGTTTACCGTCACAAGAAAGCCAAGAAGGAAAAGGACAACAGGGCCCAATGGCCACGACCTCTGAAACAGTCCGCGGAGTCTCCCATAATGGAGATGCCAATTTACAGACAGGAATCCGATAGGCTTTGTGGTTACTGGGAGCCATCACGTTCCGCCAACAACATATCCAGTAACAGTGCCCGGATGTCGATGCAAAGAGTCGAAATCAGTGTGAACAATGACCATTGGGAGTTGCCAGAGGCCCCAAAGGCGCAGTCTGTTCATGGGTCAAGAAGGGTATCTAGCGGGGTTGGCGTAGGAGTAGGCTATGACCCTTGGAATCTGCAAGATAGGGGTAGTTTTTGAAAGTCTTGGAGCGATAGGTATCACTAGAGGAAGATCAAGAACGGCACCAATATACGATGATGCTATTCCATAAAGGCCTAATGGTGCCCAAAAGTCTCTTCGAAAGGACTGGAACAGTGAAAAACATGACCCCCCTTCTCATCAATCCAGCTCCTCCCCCTTGACTGTCCAACCCCATGTTGAAACACCAGCCACCCATTTAAACATTGAAGTAGCACCTCATACTCCCCGAGTTCTGGTTAAACGCAGTACAAGAGTACGTTCCACTGGAGCCCACACTCTGCTTCTCGTCTCTACAGTTGTCGTCAGAATAAATACTGCAAGTGGTTGATTTGTAGCCGATGCCGGTCCAGACACGCGTCAGCCCGACCGAGCGGATGGAGCTGCCGAGCCTGATACACCCGGTAACGCCGCTGAAGCCCTCGTGAGAGCCAGTGTGGGGGCACTTGCAATTGCTAGGAAGACTGTCAGGACTGGCATTCTTGAGCTCATAGGTGGTAGGAGAAGACACTTACCCGCAAGTGTGCCACCAGACGCTACCTTGGGCGGCGACGGTAACGCAGCTGGCAGCCGCGAGGAGGAGGTACTTGGCGCTGACCATTTGGCGAGTGAAGTTGTTTGTTGAAGGTTGATTGGTGGGGTTGTTGATGAAAAGAGCGAGTAAGAGAGAGAATGAAAGGCTGGTGAGGCAACGTCCTTTATACCTTGACATGCTCACTATTTACCCGTAGTCGTTTTGGGCAATGACAGTTACTTTGGAATGAAATTCTGGAGCTTATGGTCCGTGTTAATGACCCATCGGTGATGACTTTGTGAACCTCTTCTAATCACCCTGTACTCGTAACTCTGCCCTGTTGAAGGCATTCTTTGTTGATACCTACCAACGACGGAAACTCGTAAAAGTGGTCTTGAAGCCCCAAGTGTCTCAAACCGACGTTTATCACCTTCCGGATCCAGACATATGAATCCCACCATGTCGTACCGCGTCAACATATTGCATAAGGTAGGCCGGTCCATCTTTGCTCCGGAAAAGAGTCTCAAACTCACGGGCACGTTCACCGCTGCTTATTTTAGTCATCATCGCTTTAGGTAGGTATCTAGGTAGGTTTGACTGGCTATGCGCGTATGATGACTGATGTCAGCTTAGAACATAGCAGATGTACACCGTCGGCACTCTATCAACCGGCAGGGTCGTAGCTAGGTACCTAGCGTTGCTACGAGTTTCCACATTTAGCTATCCGTCATAAATAGGGCTCGTGTCCTGCATCTATAGTAGGCAAACCAGTAAACGATCACTGGCTGAATTTGGATAACGGCCCTTCAAAACTGGCATAATCTCACTCGAAGATTGGGATAATATGGTCTTACAATTGTACTCACAAAGTTGTGGTGTAACAAAGTTGTGTCAAGAGTGATGCTGAAAGGGTTGTGTGTGACGTCGTCACCAAAAGTGAGGCTAAACATACAGGGCAAAAGTGATGAATATTGCAAAACTAACAGGAAGAAAAGAAAGCTATAGAAAAGTGTGTAAAACCAACAAAAGCCAAGCCCCGAGAGCACAAGGTTTGTGTCTGATAAAGATGGGCCTTAGGGAACACCACAGACCGGGATTAAAGTCCTTGGAAACTCGGATGACATGTACCTTTAAAGCAGATTAATGTACCCGCACGCTCAAGCTGGGATAATGATATAAGAAGCTGGGATAATATGTTTATAAAGCTGGGATAAAAGTCCTTTACAGTTAAGATAATCACCATCAAGCATACACTATCCCAGCATTAGGTATATTTCACCACAGGTTAAGATAGACACTATCCCAGCTTTGAATAGACTTTACCCCAGCTTGAGATAGACATTATCCCAGCTTTAAATAGACACTACCCTAGCTTTAAAGGTTATAATCTTAGCTTAAAACGCCGGGATAAAGCTGAGACCAAAAACAGCACAAAAGATAACTAACGTATATTATAAGCGAGTGACCCATATAAGCGAGTGACCCACTTCCTTCGTGACATAACACCTTCGCACTCAACAACAATTTCCTTAACCATCCAAGATGCCTTCTAATTCAAATGAAGCCCACATAATCTTAGCCCTCCAAGCGCTTCAAAACGACAAGAATCTAAACGAACGAGCCGCAACTAAGATCTATGGAGTCGATCGTAAGACTCTAGGGCGTCGGCGCGCTAGCCGGCCTACACGACGCGATATTACGCCCAAATCGAAAAAGCTTACTCAATCTAAAAAGGATGCTATTGTTTAATACGTTATTGAGCTATATACGTAAGCTTTTCCACTAAGATTACGTGGTGTGGAAGATATAGCTAACCAACTACTACGCGTACGCGACGCGCACCCTATTAGCAAGCTCTAGGTACATAACTTCGTTAAACGCTAGCTATAATTCCGTACGCGTTTTACGCGTAGATACGACTACCAGAGGGCTAAGTGCGAGGATCTAAAGGTTATTGCCGAGTAGTTTACGCTCGTACGGAACACTAAAGCTAAGTATAGTATTATAGATAACGATATTTATAACTTCGACGAGATTAGGTTTATAATAAATATTATTTTCGCGGGTATAGTAATTATAATTTCGGACGGCCTTAATAAAATAAAACTAGTTTAACTTAGTAACCGTAAATAAATAATAGTAATTTAAAGAGTTAATACCCTCGGTTAGGTTATCCCTCCCTTTATTATTTTAATTGCGTAATACTACCTCGCTAATTAATATACCGAATGTAATTTACTATTTATTTAGCGTATCGTAATTACCGATAATAATTAAATTATTAATCCAGTAAGCTTAAATTAAATTAAGTACTTCGATTATTATATAGCGTCCCGTATAAAGGGTAAATACCGGTTATTAATCCTCGATAGTTACGAAAACTATTACTTAACCGAATTCGAGTATTATTATTAATAAAATAATATTATTACGCTTTATATACCTCTATACTCCTCTTACCTCCTTTAGCTACTTAATATTAATTACTTTAGGCCGCTAAAATAGGTATACGGTCGTTAGATCGAGGACTTAATATATATATATATTAATTATATAAGTAAGCTCGAGTTTTTTTATACTTTCCGCAAAACTTTTTTCGCTTCTATAATAAAAAAAAATATATAAGGTAGCTTTATAGGTATTAGCCTTATACCGTACGATCTAAAGAGGGTACTTTTTAAACTAAATATAAAGCTTTATACGTTAATACCTCCAAACTTACGGCCCGGCACTGCATAACCTTAGGTTTCCTAGACACTATATAACCCTCGAGAAGCCAATTTACAATTAACGCTTATTAAAACTCGTATTACTAACTATTAAAATAGCTCCCTAACTTTAATACTAACTACGGTAGACTAGCTTACTAAAGGTACAACGGTTATAATGTACTAGGTGGCTCTCCTTACGGTGTAGAGGTCTCTTCGTTCCGTAAGTTAATAAAGTATTAAGTAAGCGCCGGAGAGCCAAAAAAACACGTGTGAGGCTTAGAGGGTCACTTACTGTACAAGAGGCACAGGATCTACTAGATCAGAAGGCCGTGGATGGAGAGGGAATGTAAGAAACGTAGCCGGATAGTAGTAATGTAGGGGGGGCTTGTACGAAGGTTCGGTGCTGTGGTATATACGGTAAGCCTGGCCATAATGCGCGCACTTGCCAGGAGGCTGCAGAAGCATCTGATTCAGCTGTTTCTGATGTAATTATAGTTAATTCCTTGTATTGATGTGGTGTAATTGAGGATGGTTTGTTAGGGTGTGGTGGGAGGTGGGTCACTCGCTTATATGGGTCACTCGCTTATGATATACGTTAACGTATATTATAAGCGAGTCGTATATATAAGCGAGTCGTATAGTCTCCACCACCCTACAACAACTATCCTCAATTATACCGCAATAACATTAGGAAGTAACTATAATTACATTAGAAACGGCTGAATCAGATGATTCCCAGCCTCCTAGCAAGTGCGCGCGTTATAGCCAGGCTTGCCGCACACACCACAGCACCGAACCGTCGTACGAGCCCCCCCTATA